TGTTGGATATGAGGTGGTTATAGCCAACTCGGCGCTACGCGCCTCGTTGGCTATCTATCATCTCATATCCAACGCGCGCTCGTGGAATAATTGTTAAATATACGAAACGTATCTCGATCGTTTTGTCATGCAATATACAAAAACGAGGTCAGCAGCTCGTAACTGCCACTAAATTTGAATCAACAATTACTGTCTTCCTCTGTTGTCCGATACTGAAAAGAATAATTTAGAAATGAAGACGCTCAGACACAAAGTTTCACAACAAAGATACAGTGCCTGATAATCTTGGCAAATCTGACGCACGTGACTCCGTATTGGTGTAGAAGACACAGGACACCGCGTCACAATAGAAAACCGCCCCATCGACCTGTTTTACATCGTTCTTTTGTCTTTTTGTTCTTTATTGGTTTACGTTATTAATTCTGTGTCTTCTAAACCAAGAAAAATCCTATTGACAATATTTAGGATCTTTCTTGGAAAAAGAAACTCTACATAGAAACTTCAATTTTCGCGGGAGACACCTCGGTATAAATTTCAGTTAAGTATCACATCAATAAGCCAAGGACTGCTATAGTGTTTAGTTTTAGACGCCTGGCAATCTTTATTTTCAAACGATCAAGCGCAAAACTAAATTTTGCCGCGAACGGTGACTAACCATGTAAAATCAAAATCTCAGTTTAAAGCAAAATCCTTCACGAAGGCTCCGAGAAAACTCGCACTAAATCTTAGAGCGTTTAAAGCAACATTGAGACCAAACATCGAGAAAACCTAAACGAAATAGGGAGATTTTAACTCAGTGGCCTCGTGGCACCGTTCAAAGATGGCGCTACCACACTTGCACGACAACTTAGATGTTACGTAAGGGAACCCAGGCGACGGCCGCGCGTCGACAAGTCGCGGCACTAAAACTGAAATCGTCGCTTCTTCACCTACGTTTTCCCGCGCTTCAGGCGATTTTCAATTCTTGGTTTTGCTTCCAGTTCTCGTTGCGTTGTTATGACGTTTCCTTTGTTTTCATTGGCCATTGAACAAAATGTTATTTCCTTGACAAATTGAACTTGTTTCTGGAAACGTGAGGAATAACTTGATTCAGTTGCATAAAAAGTGCCTTTAAAGGATGACTAGTTCAGTCTGTGTTCAAGTCGTACGACAACGTTCTGTCGGGACAGCTTTTGTTAATCAAACCTCACTCGTCCATATAAGACGCATGCATGCATGCAAAGTTTCGCCTGAGTTGCATGACTTGTAGTTACCTGACTAACTTATAAGTAACGTCTTCGACGAACAATCTCTCTGACATCGTACAGTTCAGTGTTACGTAATACATGTTGTGTTATGTGCAGTACCCAAACATGTTGCCGTGCGTTGCATAGCACTAAACTTAAATTCAGAGATGTACGTATTTTGTGTTATTTGTCTCTTTTTATGACCTTTTTTCATGATGATTATTTTTTGTAAAAGTTTATTTCATCGTCCATTGACTTTATTATGATTAAAAAGTTTAGACGTCAAGTGAAAAACAAAACAATTTTGTGACCAGTAAACTAAGCTCAGTAAATCTCATTTATTAGGATACTTGGGGTGTATTTTTGATTCAAATTATATCTGACACACAGTCGTATTTCCACTACGATATGACTGTAGAAGAAACTAAAATTACATATTGCTTATCCATGTATAAACACACTCGTTTTCTTGCACGTGAGATAAATTGTATTTATTTTACAAAAGAGTCAAACTGCAAAGTCCAGGACACCTGGAAAGTAGTAGAGATAAAAGCGGCTATGAATACAGCGTAGCTTTTGAGTGAAGTCAGAGCGTGTTTGTGTCCCGCTTGTGAAAAGCTATAAGCCATGTCGAGTTCGCTTTGGTTTTCATTACCTTTAACGGTTTACTTTGATAAGGGATGTCCTCCGTTTGAAGGTCTATATCGTTTGAAGAAGTCACCATTTCCTCCGTGTTAACTCGCTGTACCTCTTGAATAAGAGTGTTGTACAGGATTCTCGCCATCTGTTTGGGAAGCTGTTCTGAGATGGATGGACTTGTTTTGCGTATTCTTGTCATCTTGTTGTCCAATCGTTCCCCTGGCGAAAACTTCATTTATAACTTGCTGGGTTAGTGATTTTTCCTTTTGCTCTTTGAAGGACTTGAGATCTAATCACGGAGAGCTTGTGTTGCCGATGGAGGTTGTGTGATCTCAATATCTACGGGCCATCGGTATTCAGTTTCTATATCTGATGATTCTTCATTAAGCCCGGCTCAGTTGCGGCTCACAAACTTATTGTTGTCCACTTCCTTTCTTCTCTTCTTTGTCTGTACTTTAAAACAAAAGATTAGACGCAAACAACTTTGCCGCCTGCATTGAGATCGCTTTAAAAGTGAGAAGTGCAGAAGATAAGAAAGGCAACAATATATTTTACAGGGATGTACCTCTTTCAAACGCTTGAACAAGCATTGATTCAGTTTGGTACACGAGATACCACTAAATGCAGATAACAAGGAGATAAGTAAAAAATCACGGATTATGCACGTGTGACGCAATTACCTACCAAGCCTTTCTTTTGCCTCACTTTGTTATTT